ATCCGAATCAAAAGTTTATCACTGCTAAATCAAAGCTTATCGAATCGGCAAATATTCGGTCGGTCAACTTTTGCCAGGTTTTCCAGAATTTATGAGAACAGCTGTAATTTCGGCCTGTACCATACTGATCCGGTCATTCGCACCATACCCCATACCATAGAGACCGAAAAATTCAAAATTGAGGGCCTGGTGTGTCAAGAACATAGTAAATTGAGGGCCGAACTTTTAAAAAACATAGTAAATTTTATTTTGCGGACCGAACTTTTAAAAAACATAGTAAATTTTATTTTGCGGGCCGAACTTTTAAAATTTATTTTGCGGGCCGGCAAAAGTACAAATTTTAGGCCCATGCAGATCCCTACCATACTATACTGATTAGTGTCAGTCGTACCATACATAATGCCGGAAGCTAACACACTATATATTATTAATCAATTGATTTAAAATAGGTGTCACCTATACTGCAAAAATTATACGTATAGTATAGTCTAAATTCTCTATAAGCTACATTGCCCTAATTTGATATTCTTATTAGATTGACATCCGTATTTTCGTCGTGAATAGCCGTGATAGTAGGTAGAGGCTTGGTATTGAGAAAGCTAACTTTATGCATTTTCATGAATCTTTGATTTCAAATCCTTTACTATGTATGGTCTCGAATCATTCACTACGTACATACGTACGTACGTATTTATAGTCTAACTTCGTGGCTTGACCTGCTATACCAGGTATTTTACGATATAATATCCAACCACATGCTTACTTGTTTATAATTACAAGGCATGCATGTCTTTTAGTTCAGAAGGCTCAAACATAAGTTTGATGATTTTAAATTTATTTGAACATATGAAATTTTACATGTCCAATCGCCAACACTAACTTTATAATTATTTAAACCCAATTTATAAAAAAAAATCGTAGCACGTATGATTGATTGATCATTACAAAAATCATGTTAACAGCCAATAAAAAAAAACAGTTTCTATTATGCTATTGACTTGAATTTATCAGAAATCCACCTTGAAGGTGATATTTTTCAAGGGTTAAGTCCGGCAAATGATAAATTCACTGCTAGCAGTTAGGTTTTTCTTCTGAAGACTTATTATACGTAATCGTCGATCGCACAATGATTAGTATTATCACTATAGTCACACAACCATTTTATCTTTTTTAGGTCAGAAATATGAAATTTTAATACAGTAACTGTTTCAAATCCTGATTTCAGGTCACAAAACTGCATGTAATGATTTTTAGTCTTGCATATCTCCAAATGTCAGCATTTATATAAATGCTGCTCGGAGGTTGAAGTTGTTTGATTTATAACAAAATTCTCTTAAAAATCAAATAATTAAAAAAAAACTTTTAAATGGCAATTCGAAAAAAAACACCACCTCACATTCCAGGCTTTGAACATTTACATTCCGATATCGTACTAATTCCAGGATACCGAGGCTCAAAACTATACAATCCAAAAACCAAAACTACAACTTGGTTAAATTTACAGATTCCACTTTCACCTCATAGCAAGGCAAATCTTGATCTCCCGTTACAAATCAAAGATGAACCAGATCGATTTATTCCCCGTGGAATATTTAAAAAGATCGCGTTTTATAAATTTTACAATTCTTTAATAGAGCACATGGATGCTCTGTCTTCTCAAACAAATCCACCATCCTTTAAATTTCACAAATTTAGTTATGATTGGAGACGTAGCAATCAAGGTACGTACATATGTATGTTGTGAGAACTGAATTAAGTGGGTTGAGGTTTCTTAGTATAAACATACCCTAACCCTAAATCCCAAATCCACTTAAATTCTATTCCCACTTACGACAAATACAATTAATTTTGAAATAACTTAATAAATATGTTTATTGTGAATGTGACGTTAAATATCAGTAAATTTCGATTTGTTGAATCGATATGTTTAAATGTTAACTTTTTATTTTATTTTTTTCTTGGACTATCCGATTACTAGTGACCTCGGATATATTCCTAGAATATCTAAAAAAAATTTATGCAACGAATGGAGAAAAACCTATTTATATATTTGCTCATTCAAATGGCGGTCTAATAGCTTTATCTGTATTACATCGTGCGCCACACTTAATTGCCGGTGTAATATTCGCTGGGACACCGTTCGGCGGCGTTCCCGGGATATTCCACGAATTTAAATTTGGAAGCCCAGTGCTGTTTAATAAAAAACTCCAGGATCCAACTACCATATTTACTTACCGAACTGCATTTCAATTGATGCCTATAAAATGTAACGCTTTTAAAAATCCAATAAATGGTAAGAATCTTTATGTAGACTATTTCGATTCGAATGAATGGTTGAATAGTGAATGGAGTGATGTCATATTCGAAGATACGCCTCGAAATTTGGCGATCGGAACAAAAGAAGAGAGAATCGCGTATTTAGAAAGTGTCTTAGAGGATACTAAGAAGTTTCATGATAGTTTAAAATTCCAAGGCACAGAATTTAAATACCCACCGTTGGTGACTCTTATTAGTAATGTGCATCAATCTAATGGAGGGTATCCTATTAATAAGAACAAGAATGGCAAATGGGAAATTGACTTTGAAGGATTGGTACCTGTTAAAGGTGACGGATCCGTCTCTGTTGAAAGTACGAAGTTACCTGATGGGATTCCTTATGAAGTTTGCTACTCTATTAAACCATA